CAGAGCAGCTGGCGTGGGTGGGCCTCCTCAATCTGACCTCCAACGCACAGTATATTTGGAAAACCCTACATCATCCCACCCCGCCCATCCACGGAGACATCCCTCTGACTATACACTACCAATACATTTTCCTCACGATGGAACTGCGTCCTCGACCTCACAGCACACCAAGCCCAAGCCCTGGACGCCATTCATGTCTCAGACTCTGCAGGAGGGCACCCCAGCATCCTTCCTGGGCCTGAACTTGCATCCCCCTTTTCCGTATTCGCAACCAGCTCTGCTTCCTCCCGCACGCGTTACACCGGTTATCATACACAGCTGGATCGACACCTCAGACCTCTAGCAGGCGAATCCATCTGAACTCCCGATGGCTACTTCGCAGGAAGGTCACACAAAGTCCTAACATCCAATTCATCAGCAATGTTCCTCCACCCAGGATTTGCCATAATTCCTCTGAACTCTGGAAGACACTCTCTACGTCCTGCGTACCCATATCCAATGGCGGCCACAAATCCGCAACGACTTTCAGCGCCCCTCCACCGCCTCCACCACCACACACCTGGGATCCCACCTTCATCCGCAGGAATGGAATAAGGAGAACATCTAGAACCCCCATTCGACGCCCAAACGACACCTCAGGCCTCAGACCTCAACATAACCCGCATTCCCGCCTAAATCCACCATACCACGCTACCCCATGTCCCTTGGCCCCATCACCTCACAGACACAAGCAAACGTCGGCCCAAGCGTCGAAATCCGCAGGGAGAGGGGTACAGCGGGCGAGATACCGCGTATGCCTGGCCGATACGTCCCCAGTTTCTGACGGTTTGCTCCCGTTGGAAGTTGGAGGGAGTGGGGAAGATGAACACGAAAAGTTGTTGGCTCTACGTTGGGGCCGGGGAAGATATCTCCTTCACGTTGGATATTTTCGTGTGTAACCAGAATGGCCGAGGAGGTTGGAGGTGATGGGTCCTGGGGAGAGAAGACGGGGGAAGGGAGGAGAGGAGGAGGAGGAAAGATGGGTGGTGAATTGGTATCCTGGGGTTTTGGCTATGAATAGTCGGGTGCGGATTGGGTAAGTGGTTTTGGGAGGGCGTTTAGAGATGCTGATCTCAAGGGATGTTGCAGCCACTTCGGCCGTCGTGCCAGAGTGTGAGGATCGACTTCTGGGCTGTGTACACTCGATTGATACGCTGACGGACGTGGAGACTGATTGGCATTGAAGCTGAGGTGAGTCTTCGGGATTGAAGTTACATATCACGCTACTGATGGTCGATTTCTAGATTCAACAAATTCATTACTTATCAGGTTGCGAGCTACGTGACAACGCAAATCGTCTCAGGTTCCTGTTATCCCTTTCCACTTTGAAGAAACGGCTTTGCGGACTATGGAATTCTTCGTTCCTCGTAGGATGAAGGTGGTGCATCATCATCAGCCTGAACAGTCATAGTGTCGAACTTCTGATTGGATGACGCGAGCTACACCAAGAACTCTTGAAAATCAAGCTTTGAACTAATCTTCTCATCGAAGTCATTGTGCAACCACACGAAGAATGGATTCAGTCTGCCATTCCCAGTCTGGATGGTCGACTTCTCTTAACATGCTCAGACGACCCCGTACGTGTTTCATTTCCAGATAAACACTCTTCATTGCTTACCTTCTTTTACTTTCTTTTAGACGGCACGAATCAAAGATTTAGAGTCACCCGCACTCAAGGCGGAGATGCGAGGTCACGACAACCGTATCGAATCATGAATGATCCGTATTCGTACTTCCAGCAAACTTCCAGTGTCCTAGTTCTGCGGGACGAGCAGGACCAATCGAATGAATGAAGGATAGAGCTTCCTCTTTGCGTGGATGCGAAGGCGTGGCTAGACATCAACATATTTGTCAACTGCAAGAATTACCATGATTCTGTGAGGATGAGGTGCAAGTTCTGATAAATACTTGGTTTTCGACAACTTTTGACGTAGTAGTACACGTTTACATACAATAGGCAGGTATCAGACGTATCGTACAAGACAGACGTATGGTACAAGATAAATGGTATCACTGGCGGCGTGCAATTGGCGACATCGCAAGAAAGCATTTAAAAAAAAAGTTCACTACGACAGCAGCTGCTGAAGCCAATAATTGAACTCAGCATGATCCTCATCCGTCATCGCATCGTCCTCATAACCGAAATTCATCGGTTTAACGCTAGGCCACAAAGCACCGCCCAGATCAAAGCTTGACGACGACGACGAAGAATCGGCTTGATTTGCTAAGAACCAAGGCATTTCTGTGAATGAGTAGATCGGGTCTCGTTGTTGGTGGATGTATCCCCGTCTATCTCCCATGTTGTCCATGCTCACAGGAGGAGGAGGAGGGCCTTCTACAACGATCGGAGCTGGGGTTGCGTCGTCGTCGATATATCCTTGCTCCAGTATCTCCAAGCTGAAGAGCGATGGCTGCTGGATTTCGGTAGCGCCATGCATTCAGATGTTCGAATGGAGTAGCGGAGAAGGAGGACGTGGAAGTCGAAGCTTGGACGGGGGAAGGAGGAATTCAATGGGGACGTGACACAGAAGTCACGTCCCACGTACAGGGACCAACACTGTCACACGTCCTAAGGGAAATCATAAGAGAATGTAACACTGGACACATGTCAAGATAATTTGTCTTGGAATACTCTAAAAATATCTTTTGGAAGTTCCTTATTTTTTCCCAGTTTTCCACCAAGAAATACATAATACATCTATAAAGATTCTTTTCAATGAATGAATGTCAAATATTGATAAAATATGTTGGAAAACATGTAGAACATATTGAGATACATATATAGACAATTCAAATTAACCCAATATCTTTCAAGTAAGTTTCTATATGTTTTTAACATGTTTTATAAGTATTTAATCTTCATTTATTGAAAACAATCTTTGTAGATGTATTACATGTTTCTTACTAGAAAACAGAAAAAAAATAAGGAACTTTCAAAAGATATTTTTAGAGTATTTCAGTGCAGATTATTTTGTCATGTGTCCAGTGTAAGAGGATGATTTATGAACGATGGAAGATTGACTCACCTGCAAGAATGTGGTCCAGTGCGCCCAATTTTTGGTCAAGCCTCTCAGTCTCGTCGATGAGACCGAGTTTGACCCAGTCCGAGCAATTGACACCTAGACGCACTATGATGGAAAGGTTTTAGAGACATTGCCGCTGAGGATTATACAGGGAAAGTACTAACGGGCTTGGCCCATCCGGGCACTCATGCCTGTAATACAATCTCTCTCTTCAAAGAGTGAGAAGACGATTGACCAAGATAGAGGAACCCAAGGGTCTGATCCCCCTGAGAAGCGTGGAAGGCAGCCAGGAAGTTTAACGCGTGCACCACGCTCAACTGAGGTTCTTGGCATTCCACCTCTAGATAGCACTTCGTAGCATTGGCAAAACAACAACGGGACTTGAAGTCCCGGATGTTTGGGTCATCGAGAAACACTGTCCCCAGCGCTACGAGAGCCTTATGCAGCATGGGCGAGTAATGGCGTCTTGGGCAGGGTGTGGGAGCGGGGAACAACGATTGCTCGGTACATGTCTTGAAGGAAGAGCGCCGGGACGATGCAGAGACACCAGGAGGTGAAGAGTTTGAAGAGGATGTCGAGAGCTCTGGTAGTGTAATTTACATCAGCATTGCAGCATCTCAAAGAAAAAGAGACATGGCACGAAATTGTCATGGGACCTCCTTCTCCAGTGGCAGCCACAAATTCCTGACCACTTTCAGCGCCCCTCCACCGCTCCACCACCACTTACACCTGTGTTTCTATCTTCATCCACAGGAACGGAAGCAGATCACCGCATAGGCCATTCAACGCCCAAACGACACCTCAGACACCAACATACCCCGTATTCCGGCATAAATCCACCATACTACACTCCCCCATGTCCCTTGGCCCCATCTCTTCACAGACACAAGCAAACATCGGCCCAAGCGTCGAGATCCGCAGGGGGAGGGTGCAGCGGGCCAGATACCGCGCACACCTGGCCTCAGTGCGTTTGGTGAACAGAGGAAACCGCAGAGCGCTGGGGCGGGCGGGGAGAATATCATTGTTTCTTTCGGTTTGCTTCCATTGGAAGTCGGAGGTGATGGGAATGGGAAGAGGAGGAGCGTTGTTTATTCTGTGTTGGGGCCGTGGAAGATATACCCTTTACGTTGGATATTTTCGTGTTTAACTAGAATGGCCGAGGAGGTTGGAGGTGACTCGTCCTGAGGTGAAAAGACGGGGGAAGGGGAGGAGAGGAGGAGTGTGATGGGCAGTGAGTTGGTATCCTGGGGTTTTGGCTATGGATAGCTGGGTGCGGATTGGGTGACGAGGTCCCTTTGGTACGCATGTACTTGATGATTCCTTTGATTAAGCGAGGAAGGTTGGAGAGAGGGTGTGGAGTCATAAAGTCTGGTTCGATGCCGGGGCAGTTTTCAAGCATATAAGTGGTTTGTGTTCGTTCGTCGCCGAAAGAGTCTGCCGGAGGAGCACAGTGGAGGTTTCCTCGCACCCTTGGCCGATGAGAATCGCTTTGAAATGGAAGTTACAGGCCACTGATCCTAAAAACTTCATCGTATGCGAGTCTCCCAGGATCCCCTCGGCGTACACCTTGAGCTTGAGGCCTTGAGTTCCCGTCCATACGCTTTGATAAGGGCTTCGTGCAAAAGAGCTGGCGTCCATGGCGTCGTGGATAGTCGAGCTTATGGTGACTATCAACTCAGGATAAATATAAATGCGCCCAAATAAATATCTGCTATGTACTTCCACCAACGTAAACGCGGATGTGATGCTCGCACAAGCTCCCTCGATTGACCATCAAGCACAAGTATCCAATACCCTCCAGATATACTTCCACAGCAGATCCCCTCCCAACAGAGAGGAGAGCATGAGACGTGTCTTTCAAGCTCTCTTCTCGGGAACAGCGGTGTTCAAGTCATCAAACCGCTCGAATTCATCTCTCATCAGCAAACAATGTTCCTGTATTCAATTCCCTCTACACATATCTCTTCCACCTCTTCCTCCCCCGCCTCGCTGTCCTCCCCTTCCTCTCCGCCATGGCTGCACAACTCTCAGCTCGCCAACAAACAGATCTGTACGCGCAACCTATATCCAACCGGCTTTGTTACTAACGTTGACGTTCATGATATGAACAGGCACAAATGAATGCTCAATTACCTCTACACGGCCGGATTCACAAAAACTTACGACCAGTTACAAGAGGAAGCTCCCTATTTGGTGTTTATACCCCCCATCTTCGCCTTACCTCCTCCGCCAAGGTCGGCCCAGTAGTGGGTTGTTGGTCAAGAAATGGACGAGCGTGATCAGGATGGAAAAAAGGTGTGTTCCACCCCCGTTACTTTGCCTCCTGCGTGAAATGAACGACGCCTCCATTCGTAGATTATGGATCTGTAATCACGCCTTGCCCCAGCCATCGAAGAATTATCGCATGCCTCGACCTCCGATGGCTCGAAACGCGCAAATAAGGACGTTGTAGCGTCGGCTTCTGTAGACGCGATGGTGAAGATCTGGGATTGGGATTGGGGGGAATTGGAGAGGACGTTGAAGAGCCATACGAAGGGGGTTCGGATTGTCAGTTTGATTCGACGGGGAAAGTTTTGGGTGAGTGTTTTGTCTAAAATTGCAGAGTGGTCATGTGGGCTAAGGGATTCGATGTAGCGACGTGTTCGGACGATCTGTTTATAAAGCTCTGGAACGTGCCCGATGACTACAAGAATTTTGCCACCCTTAGAGGACACGAACATTCTATCTCGAGCGTTTCTTTCTTGCCAGGGGACAATCAGGTCGTTTCGTCAAGTCGGGATCATACAGTCAGGATGTGGGATGTCCAAACAAGGTAAGTTATGCCCCACTCCCTCTTTTCCTAATTAACCTCCTCATTAAAGTCATTGTGTAAAAGTCATACGACCACATGAAGAATGGATCCGGTCTGCCGTTCCCAGTCCGGACGGTCGGCTTCTCTTAACATGCTCAGACGACCACGTACACGTTTCGTTTCCAGTCCACAAACCCTTTCGATTCTTACCTTCTTTTGCTTTCTTTCAGACGGCACGAATCACAGACCTAGAGTCATCCGCACTAAAGGCGGAGATGCGAGGTCACGACAACCGTATAGAATGCGCCGTGTTCGTACCTCCAGTATCTATTCCGTCTGTCCGGGAACTGGTAGCTGTGGTGAATACCGTTCTCCCCCCCTCTACATACCCTG